GTTCCACCTTGCGCTTCCAAGAATTGATCAGCCAATTCAAGCATTCCTTCAAGTGACTCAGCCTTCCTCTCTTTCAAATACAGCGACAGGCTTGGGTGGCAACTAGTAAGGAATTGTTCTCTTATTAGCAGCTCTCTAAGTTCATCGTACTCCTGCGCTGTCCCTGAAAGTTCAATCCATCTGTCGAAATAATGGCAAAGTCGGGCGGCATACTGCGTAGCCGTCTCACCATCAGCTGGCTTTCCTGTCCGAAATCTGTCCCGGAATCCTTCCACGGTAAATCTAAATCGCTTCAGCAAAGCAGCTTTCACCTTTGCATAGTTGGCTGCATCGGTCGGCGTCAGCCTACCGTACACACTGAGCGCTTCACCACTCAAGCAAGTACTCAAAGCAGTTGCCCATTGATGTTCCGGCCAATTCTGGCTCTTCGCAATCGTCTCAAATCGGTGAAGGTACGCGTCAAGGTCGTCCTTCCTTTCATCAAACGCCACGAGCAACTTGCTTGGGTTCAAGCGGAAGCCATGATCTTCCCGTTCGCTGCTTTCAACTCTAGGTTGGACGGGAGTTTCACTTCGCTGTTGCAAACGGAGCCGTTCGAGTTCCATCTCGTGCTGCCGCTGCCGTTCCCTTTCCTCTCTTTCTTCTTTCTGCTGGCGCTCCCTCGCTTCTCTTTCTTCTCTCGCCCTTTCGGCTGCCAACTTCTCTCTCTCCAGCTCCAACTTCAATTGCTGCTCTCTTTCTACTTTCAGCTGTCGCTCCTTTGCCTCTCTTTCTTCTCTAGCCCTCTCAGCGGCCAGCTTTTCTTTCTCCAGCTCTAACTTCAATTGTTGCTCTCTTTCTTCTTTCTCTCTCGCAGCTACCAACCTCTCTCTCTCCAACTCAGCTTCTTTTTCCGCTTTGGCTCTTTCGACCGCCAACCTCTCTTTTTCCAGCTCGGCTGCTTTTTCTTCTTTGGCTCTCTCTTTTTCTTCTTTTTCCTTCTGGGTGACCCACTTCCGTAGTTCGGCGCCAGAAAGACCCATCTTTTCACCAAGAGCAACTAACTTTTCGAGATCCATTGTGCCTCGCAACTCGCAACTAAAACCTTGCCACGTGCAAAAAGTATCTGCCTAAATCAGTCTATCGGAACACTCCCCTGCACTCGTTAACGAGAACACTGAACAACACACAAAATCGTTCCGATAGCACTATCAACAACTCGAGGCTCTTTCTCACTACTTTGGACACACTGTGCACCAAAAGGTCCTGTCGCGGACGCCAGATTAATTGTCACACCTGTCCCGTTTATTAGGGAGGCGATCGCCGGGCTAATTCCAAGAGCCGAAGTATCGGCCCCCCGAACCACACCACGAAAGCGTGGACAATTTAGAAGTGGTCCTTATTGGTGCGCCAGCGGACGCCGGCTGTGGCCCAAAGAACAAGACAGAGCCGATAGTTGATAAACAAACAAAATTATATTCTCATTAACGGCAGATCAAAAACAATACACACGTATGCACACTCCACAATAGTTACATACAATACGTCACCAAACAGACAATGTACTACACAGTACAATCAACCACACTTGAAACAACGGACACAGACAACAATACGCACTACAATGCAGTCGCATGCATTGAACAACCAAGACACTTAAAGACTAAAGAGATATAAAACCTATTCAGTCCAAAGTCCTTGGAACAAAAGTCTGAATGATACTCTTCCGAGAATCACTCACTCAAAGTCCAGCGTTGTTGTCGTTCCGCAGCTCTCTGGAGTTTCTCTTCCAGGAAACCTCCCGTCTTCAATTGGCCACTCTTCAAACTTCAACTTCTTCGCCGGAACCCGTCGGCTTCACACACGCAGCTGTTGCCCGCGTCTTCGCTTGATAGCGGTAAACCCACGCTCTTGCCTGTAGCTCGAGCCGTCCCTACGGACCTCAAACTTCGCCGACTACACGGCGGACTCTCTACGCACTCTGGCGCTCACTTCCGTCTCCTCCTGTTCTGTCACTACGGGCAGAACCTTCGCCGACTCCACGGCGGAATTCCTACGCGCTCTGGCGTTAACTTCCGTCACCACCTGCTTTCTCGTCTCGGCCGCTCGATTAAACACCTTCCGCGCCACTTTCCAGAATTTTCTCGTCCTTTCGTCGGCGCGATACGCAGCGAAGGCTGGAGAGAGGCGAGACGGTTTGTCAGCCCTCCGCGTCGGGTGACTCAGCTCGGCGTAGCCACGCCTCCTTCGTTCTGGAAATTTCTAGCGCTTGCCCGGCCGCCGCTGTGGGGTGAGGAGGTTCGTCTGCGAAGCCGTGCTTCTGCGGGGAGAGCGCGCGCCCGGGAGGCGCATTTGTAATCTGCAGTAGGTTCAACGCATGGCAACCGCAGCGGCGTGCTATTGGTCACACTCTCGCAGAGACGCCGCTGCGACGTGCGCCTAGCAACGGCCGCCGCGCCTCATGACGAAATACTCTCGTTCTCGGAGTGCGCCCTGAAGGAATCCCTAATGGCCGTTCCTTTCAGCGCAGATGGGAAGAAAAGGCTTGCGCTGTTTCGTTCAATGCCCGTGGCATTTTCGTCTCCGCCTGTGCACCATGGACTGCTCTCGCGTTGACTGAGGAAGAGGCGCTTGGCGTGGCGTTGGACTAATTTGTGGTCTAGTGTGCATTTTTCGTGCGCGTGATTTTTTTTTTAAATTCAGTGAACATTTGTGTTGACGCCTGCGCCTTTTTGCGGCCTTGGCCCTTCAGCAAGAAGTGATCTGCCGTTGTGTCCTACTCTGCGATTTTTTTTTACAGTGGACACACTTGGCTTTCAAGTATATTTGGTGCCGCCAGTGTCTTGAGCCCTCGCCTTGTCGCTCGACGCGATCACCTTTGTGTTGAACTACTCGCCCCCCCCCCCCTTTTTTTTATAACTTAGCGGCGCGGAATACTCTGGTGACCACGTGTTTCAAGACGTGATCGCCGCGATCGCAGTGTGTTGTACGGCTATGGCTAGTGAAAGCAGCGCATGTGAAACATCGGCGCACAGCGCGATCGAATGCGTCAAGGACAATGAGAGCTCATCACCTGACGTCGACGTGCTTCGAGCAAACATCACCGATGAACGTCACGCCTGCAGCTGGGTAGAAGACTACGGCTTGAAGACGAATACGTCATGGGTTGTAGACTTCGTCAAGCCAACAGCAAAGTGTGAAAGGTAATGCAAAAAATGATCTTATATCTCATAACTCCAAAAATAACTTACGTCGTCTCTGGTGATAAAACTTCATGTTTTGCGGATAATGTCCAACGATGCGCCGTCTCAATGGTTGTGGACAACGAGGAGATGATCGGTACGAGAGGGCTAGACTCCGCTCATTCAGTGACATTTCTCAAATATATAGAAATAACGAAACGCGCATTCCCACCGCCTAGCCGCAAACTGGACACCCTTCAGGTGATTCACCGGAGTTGCCTTCAAACCAAAACTTAATGCGCTTACAAGTGTCCTCGCATGGGGGGCAGAATAGAGTGCATTTTTCTTTTTCTCAGAAACACTACAAAAAAGAACGATAACTTAAACAAACCTGGTACAACATGGCCGTAAGTTTTCGCAATTACATCCGCGAGGCAAAACGTATCTTCTATAATAATAGAGGAACCGCCTCAAAGCATGTATTCTGGGACTGTGAAATAGTTGAGAAAAAAGTTGTATTACCCCCCTTCCCCCCCCCTGCACTTCCCAGATGAACTACACAGTAGAGACTGCAGTGACTAGCTTAGATCCCCAATACCAACTTTTAACTTTGTGCCGATTCCAGGAAGCTATTGTGAGAGTGTCTCTCGACTCCCCCCGGTTTGCCTAATACAAAAGCAATTCATTAGCAAAATATTTAGTAAAATTGTCTCACTCAACAATTACTGTGCCAGAAAACTAATTGACTGAATCCCCTTTTCTTGGAATTGTGAGAGCATCAAATGCCATAAAGTTCCAGCTTGCACAAATAAGAGCTGATGGTCACGATAAATTCAAATGCAGAGTTTGTGCAGGCTTTACAACTGTGATCTCTTGTTCAAATTTAAGTGTTGTGGCAAGCCTCTAAGATGTGTCCACGGTAGCTAGTAGCTTTGCAGCAGGATTGGCATTTTCCATGATTTATTTATTTTAATGATGACAATGCAGTCACTGAACAAGTGAAAATGAAAACTCACGAGAGACACCCTGAGATCTGTAAGAGCCCCTTGATTACTACTAGAAACCTGTACTAGTCCCGAAACGTCTCTCATTTGTTTTCGCCTAAACTTGTTGAGTGACTGGAACTTTATTATCATGTTTCCTCACCATTTGAACTGTCGTCAAACTCTAACCTACAAGCTGAAAATGTCTTAAATGTGCTTCGGTAATGCAAGAAGTAAAATTAATGATTGTGTTTTTGGCAGGTTTGTTGAGTTCATCCTTTCAGATGCCACCTGTGAAGAACTGCCTGTAAATGCGTCAAATTGACACATGATTTCAAGGCTGTCTATATTCTATTGCAACAACAATAATTTTATAATAGATTGATTAGGCATTTCATAGCAGTTAATTGAAATTGAGCTTTTATGAAACATCTACTTATTCTAAAGACATTCATATTTGATTCTTGTATATATAGAATGAAATCTCACACTAGATATATACTGGATATTGGTTTCTCATTTTAAGGATATTGAGAAAAGAAAAAAAGATATTTCGAAGTGGCTCCAGCGAAGCGCTGCATTGAATGACTCGTCGACTATGGTAGTGCTTCTGGAAAAGTGATTATATGCAACAGTAGTGTGAAAACTGAAGTTAAAGACATGTTTATTAGCGAGGAGGTTGATTATTTCATCTAAACTTCATTGTATCTTGCACTTTTTTAGCCCCTAGTTGACACAACTAGCAAAAACAAGTGATGTACACAATTGTGTACAAAGCGTCTAAAAGGGTTAAACGCACTGCAAGGAGATTTGTGCAGGTACCTAGTAAGTGCTCAAGTAACTGGTGTATTTTTCCTTTGATCAAATGGCATTTGCAGGCAAAGCAGACCCCTTTCGTTGCTGTCACTGAAATTCTAAATTCGTACTGCTTTGCAGGATGGTGTTCCACAAAGTATGGCGCTGCAAAGAGGCAAAGCGGGAAAAATCATGTGGTGAGGCTGCAGCACACTGTCCAGCAAAGATTGACCTCAAAATCAAGAAGGTCAACAGAAATACAAAACGTAATGATGCCTTTTTACGTGGGGAAAAGCCACTGCCAGCTGTGATAAAGCTCTTTCATCACAAAAACCACAGCCACAGCACTGCAGCAGCAGACGCACTTTCTCGTCTTACTCCAACAATGCAGACCAGAGAGACCTTTTTGGCATACTTTGACAGCGGCATGTCACCAGCTGAAGCCACCAGGCTTCACGAGAGCAAATTGCTTGTGCAAGAAGATGGGTATGCCCTCGTTGCCAACTCTGCAGTGAACCCATTGCCTCCTGCCATATACTACTGGCACAGGCTCTGCAGAGAAAAAAACTTTGGAAAGGATGTAGACCCCCTCTTAAAGATAGCTGAGATGCCACTTTATGCTAAACATGGTGAGTTGACTATTACAGCACTGCACTTACACCATACGTTCCATACTTGCTACAGCTGTCTAGTGGTTATGGTGCTTGACTGCCAACCCAAAGGTCGCAGAATTGAATCCTGGCTGGGGCAGTTGCATTTCAATGGAGCCAAGATGCTAGAAACCTGTCTGCTTAGATTTAGGTGTGTTTAAGAACGCCAGGTGGGCAAAATTATGGTTGTCTCCGTATATAGTGTCATGATATCGTGGTTTTGAGACATAAAACATTATTATTATTATTATTATTATTATTATTATTATTATTATTATATTTGCATTATTAAAGGCTATTAAAATCCTAAGCCCTAATTTGCATGCATTTTTAGAAGACTTTTAGTTACAACAGATCTTGAAACCAATTTTCTAAAATGTTCTGTCAGTGCAGCACTTAATTCACAGATTTTGGACACTGCTAAAGCACTAAGAGAGCTGTAGAGGTACCACACTTAGCGTTTTCAGTCACAAAAGATAATACATCCAATCTTATAACAGTTCAGTAAAGTTTACAATATTAACATGAGACATTCATGTAATATTGTGGCCAATGTTTCAAAGGGAATCCATACAAGTTCCTAGAATGAAAAGTCATACATCACGCAGTTGCATATAGTAGAAGCAACATTATTGCCACTACTCACAAGCTATAGATGACACCCAATGCTAGCAAAAAAGTTCAGCATAGAGTAATGACGAACAGAGCTACTTTCTTTCGTAAAGGGTCATAATGTCATCACCAGGGTGCTGTAACAATGTGTAGCCGATGCAGGATGACATGCCATAATTTTGCTTGTAACGAAATTGAGAAGCACATAAAATCAGTGCACAGAGATCTCTTTATGAAAAAACTATCATTCAGTCCCACAGTGAAAACGGTTTGAATACTCCAACATGCCTCTATATTAATTGCATACTAGGTGTCACTTAGTAAATATGTTTGCCTGTTTATGAAAGTTTCAAGTGACGAATAGATGAAAAAAGTGGAACAAGTTCTGACTGTTTATTTTGCTCTATAATATTCACTTCCAGCTTAAATTACTAATTTGTAAATTGCTAAGAACACTGGATAATAAATTTGTGGCAAAACAGAAAATGAGTACCACATCCCAGAGCTTCATTTTCACAAAACAACTGAGTACCATACAAGCTTTTCCAACTATCTCTTGGGCTAACTGCACCTCAGGTTACAGAGTTGCAGGTGGTGCTCCTCTGACTATTACTCATCAATGCTGTACAGTTAGCATTTGGAACTATATGTGGGCTATTAATGGCTTGTCACCAAACATTTGGGTCAACAACAGCTTAATGGTCACAGCACACTACAGCTACACCCTGGGGTGCTTAATTCCAGCATTTACATGGTGTGGATGAGATTCTAGCTCGCATCGGCATACAACTTTTCAAAATGATACCATAAAAGCTGTCGTCAAATAAGTGAATGTGGAGCCCCTGCAGCCCAATGTAACACACAATTTTTCATTGAAATAAATACAAAGGTCATACAAATCAATATTTTCAGAACTAGTTATTTATTCAGCCGATTCAAGTCTTCAAAAAATATGTCTTCCTGTATTCTCCCTCACTCAACCTTTTTTCAGATGCTTGCTTGAATACCAATGTAAAAAGAATTCTTTACATTAACTGTGCTTCAGTCATGTACCAGTTGCTGTACCTCTTCATGCGGTCATTTCTTCTTTCTGCCCAATTTTTCGTCGGAAGCATTGAGGCAACATGCACAGGTCTAACGCCCATGAAGCAAATGACCTGCTATTGACCCATAAGTCATTAGTATCTGTAATTGTTGTGCAGGCAACCTTAGAGTGTGGACCATCTTCTGCAAAATTACTCTGCAGACAGCATTCTCAACTACCTAGTTTTGATAAGAGGTATTCAATGAGCTCTTCCTGCCAGGCAGCACCAGTGCGTGCGCTGCCATAGCCCTGGTCGGTCAGTGATCTGGGTTATGACAGCGTGTTATTTGGTGGCGGTGCACATCACTAACCCTTTTTCTTATGAAAATATTAGCAAAACACACACTGCCGAGAACTTTGGTTGTGGAATGATAATGTTTATGCGCGAAAGCACAAATATGGCGACTTCCATGCTAGGGCCTCTTGCATATGACGTCATGTGATTACCTCCATTATGTAAGAATAAGATAGTGTTTTAGTAGATAAAGAGTACTATAGTTGAAACCTTTTATAAGAGACACTGATATAAGAGACAAATGGATATAAGAAACACCAGTGTGCTTAGAGTAAAATACGGATTGATAGGAAAAATGCATACGTGGTAATCTGTATTAAGAGACAAGAATTGCTGCCCGGAGAATGCCACTTATTAAGGGGTTTAGCTGTACTAGGCATGGTATCTGGAGAAAAAGTCAGTATTCTGTAACCACATTTGTATCTTAGCAAAAGGCGGAATCTGATACTTTTGCAGATGGTTACTCACAAGACTGATCCATTCAGTCATTTGACTACTGCATCTCACTTTCCTTGTTTTTTTTAACACTTGGTGGTTGGCCTATGCTTACACCCCAAAGCCTTAAAAACAATTGTTCTGGAAGTCGCCCGCTAGCATTTCACAGTGTGCGATTCCCTGATACAGCTCTTTTATAAGCCACTGTGGTAACCATTTCGATTACACTACGAAGCTGCGGCACACCGTAAAAAGTGCGATTGCATCATCCACAGGTTACATCCACAGATACTTAGTGACTTGCCTGCTCTGACTTGTCAACAGAAGTCGTCAAAAAAGACTGCGGCTCGCAACTTAGTAGCAGCAGCTGTCATTCTGCTGTCATATGCACATGTTCACCTAAAGGATGAGTAAGATGTCATCCAAAGACTGACAGCGATTTCTGCTATTTAAGCTGCATGCAGGACGCAGGTTTCGCAAACTTAGTAACTGTGTTGTACTGTGATAATGTCCACTGCAGAGAGATTGGCTTAGAGATGCTGGGCAATAAATACTTTGAATTCAAATTTAAATATTTCATTCATGTTGCCTGGTGTACAGAGAGTGTTAATAGTGCACACCATAGAAATGAAAAATGTTTCTTTTCGGTGTCTGAAAATCGTGTTGGTACTCCTTTATGGCATGCCATTGTAAATAAATATGTGTTATTGCTTCTTAAATTATGAGGTCTATCTTGATAAAAAAAGGTATCTTCAGTGTTCTTAAAAAGTACCGAAGTGTGTACTGGGAGACTATTGAGAAAATACTGTGCTTCCAGTATTTGAAAACCTAATGTTTGAAGCTATACCTAATAAAGTGACGATTGTTATAGGATGCAGACAACAGCCTTGAAGCGCTGATTGAGCAGTTACGGCGAGTTCATGCAGAGGAGAAAAGCAATGCAGTCTACAGAAGGCACCTCCTCAGCGGCACTAAACGCCTCCGAAGACTCCAAGAGCAGAAGCGCGGTGTTGGTGCCATGATGGCAATGAACGCTGCTTTAGGTCTGGGTTTACGTCGTGGACGATATATTAAAGTGCAGCCAACAGCAATTTCAAGACGACGTCCAGGACTAACTAGAGGCTCCAAGCGAGTAGCTGCAGGACGACCAGCGAGTGGCCCTTCACCCAAACGGGCAAAGAAGAGGCGCCATGTGCTGCAGCAAAGTGTGAGCCAGAACATTCCTCATGTGAAGCTGCATGGCTATGGCCATTGAAGTGATGTTCTAGTGACTACCTAGTGACTACTCGGGGCAGAAGATTGAGTGTGTGTGTGTGTACAATGGTGCGTGCGCGTGGCATTCCTGGCTGAGGCACGATGTTCCCATGGATGCATATGGTCACGATCATGCTTTGACAGGACAGCTGCCCATGGTACAAGCTTGCAGGGATGTTACATCTTGCAGATCATATACAGTAGACTCTCATTGAATGGAACCTGAAGGGACCGGGAAAATGTGTTTCATTTAACAGGAGTTCTGTTTACTGAGAGGTGAAGTGGGTTGCAGCATTCCAGTATGAAACCAATCATAACAGAGAAAGTTGTTCCATTCAAGCAGCAGTTCAGTTTTACAGATTTCCATTTACTGAGAGTCTACTGTATGCTAGAAAAGACAGAAAATCAGGCATGAAGGCAACCATAGTACAAGTGCAACATCTTTCTCACCAGGTTACGGAAGAAGCCGATCAAGTCGGCAAGCCACTCGGTCCTGTTTTTCAACTACTTCAACAGTCTTCTTTTTTTTTTTTCAACTATTCCACCTGCAGGTGTATTTTGCCAAAACAGTTGAGCAATTTCTTCCCTAAGTTGCTGTCCTGGTAAAGGAGTTCTGCCGCCTTGTGATCGATGCCCACAGGATTAGCAATGGATGTGTCTTCTCTGGAGAGCTGTAACAGACGCCCTGACGGCAGCTCAATGGCAGCATGGTGTTTTATGCGCAATTTCTGGTTGCTTCCCACTGCCTAGAGTGACTCCTCTAGATGGCTCATCAGGCTTGCCAATTACCATTCGTAATGCCTGCTGATTCAGAGTTGCCTATCTCTATCACGTA